TCAATTTATATGCATGGACTTGTTGCAGTTAACTCTATACAGTGTGTTTCTCTAAACCAAGTGTCCTTCTACTTCATCTTGAATTACATATGAAAAGCCAACAGTTGTATATTTGTAACATGTACGTTGGAGAATGTGGACTTCTTGATGTTAAGCCATGTAGAGGAAAATATAAGGCAGATGATACGCTACCTCACACCGAATCAAAAATGTTATAACATCATCTTAGTATCAGGAAATGAACATTGAAAGATTACAGAACATAGACAGTATTTTATTCTGTTATACTTTCTGTGGTAATTAGAAGACAAGTAGTTGATACTGCTGATTAAAGTATTATAGAAAACCAAATCAGTGATCATTCTGTGAAGGTAGCTCTGTCCACCACAATATCTGAATTTCAACGAAGATGCTTTAAATATAGTGCTTGCTATTTCATATTGCACTGATGTTATGCAACTGAAACTTCTTCAGTATCTGGTGACTTTGCATTGTCAATGCTGGAAGTGTCCTGTAAGGTTATTTACTTATTTTTGTCATTGCATGCTGTAAGGTATTGTTACAGTTCCGTATGGTTTGACTGATAGTTGTTATGTAATGCGCAGACATCATGTGGCAACTTGTTTCCAACCATATACTGCAAGAGTGTATGTACATCCCATGTATACACTTCAGACCCATAAAATGAAGTATTTTGAAATAATTTGAATTTTTGTGGTAAAATAATTCTCAAGCAATTGGACCCTTTTCACTTGAAGTGAAGTATTTTTTCTTCTTGGCCTCTGGCTGGTGTATTAGGAATATAAGGGAAAGTAGTGGGTTAATATATCCAGAAACAGTATGCTTCACTGTCACATGCTTATCTGGATCTACTGTTCTAATGCAAAACGTTTGCTGTACTTACCCAGTACTTGAAACACACAGAAAATAACTCTCAGGATTTTCTGTAGCAGTATACTGTGTTTATAATAATGCCAGTAAAAGACAGTTGCACTGCACCAAAATGTTTCATACACTGTGGTCAGTATCACTATCAGAATTTAGTGAAGCTACCCCAGATATTGAATTTAATAGAGCACCATGTTTACCAGCTCCACCATCTCCATCTTTGCTCCTGGTCAAACTGATGTCACTATAAGCACTCTTATTTCCCACATACACAGTTTCTTGACCATCAAGAGCTTCTGTAACAAATTCTGAATATCTAAAACATGAGTATATCTTAGTTTCCAGTTGTTGCTGATTTAAGCAAATGTTATGTCTTCCATTTTGAACATCACATTCCTATCAGCAGCCCAGTTTTCAACAGTTGCACATGTTAATTTTAGTCAGATTCAGTTCTGGATGATAAAATGGTAGCCTCAAGACTGAACATCCGTGCTCAGTCAGAATCCGTTTTATCTCATAGTTGCATAAGCAGGCTTGTAGATCCCCCCCTGCAATTCAGCCAAAGTATGACACTTATCTTTCAATTCATTGTTGAAGCTGGATCAATTTGAATATTGTGCCACAGAGCATTATCTAATACCAAAATTCCGAAAGGGGGGTGGGGGTAGATTTGGAATTGGCTTCAAATTGTTGTCTTTCATGTTCCTTTTATGATCTCTTGTAGAGTGATGGATTGAAGACTTGTGTGTTAGGAATGAAATGTTGATCACTGCCAGCGGGTAGGCCGCAGATGCAATTGCTGTTCTCATCAAATGGCACTGATTGAGAGTGTGCCTCATCCCTAAAAACTTCACTTCTGTACTTTGCAATGCTCCTTAAATATATCCTCAAAACTTTGATATTGTGGCATATTATGAGGAGTCATAAATTATTCTCAAAGCTCTGATATTATGACACTTATATGAGAAGCTGTCAGTTATTACAGTAAAACTTGGTTATAGCAACATCGGTTTCTGCGACACCTTGTCTATTGCGTCAAATATTCAATGGTACGAACGAATTCCTCATAAAACAACTGTTTTTATACCTTGCTTAGTACGACATGCACAAATGCATCAACCTCGTATGTAACGTCATTTTCATTCCTGAATTTCTCTGATATCGTGGGAAAGTTCGATGTGTCTGCCCACCCTCACTTTCTCTACTTGCTGACGTGACTGTCCTGGAAGAATACGACCGCGGGCTGCAAGAGGAGCGTGGGTTTTATGCGAAAACAAGGGTGTGGGGTGGGACTGCGTGAATAGTGCAAGAGGACGCGGCAGGTTGTTAACTGCATTCCTTTCCTAGAATCTCGTCTAACAGGACCTCACATTGTCTACTTACCCTATAGTGTTCCTGCCTAAACCCAGAGAAGTGCAGTAGCGAAAACATGGCAATGAAAAGGAAAGTTTTAAGCATTGAAGAGAAAGTTAAAGTGATTCGTGAAATATTGTGTGTATTGTCAGTGAAAAGCGCTGTAATATGTCTTTGATATTACACATTTGGGCAATTCCACGTTAATGTTACGTTAGTCTGTACTTAACTACGTATTTCACTAAAAAATGCAACATTTTAACTCGGTTTTTGGTAGATTTTTATGTGACTAACCTAAGGCTACTGTGGAAGTGCCCATTTCGGTTACGACATTCGTTTATAACGACACTATATTTAGGTCCCTTTGATGACGTTATAACCAAGTTCTACTGTATTTGTTTTTATCCATCTTAAACCCAGCCTCATTATCACTTTTCTTAAATATGATGCACTTGCTGTAAACCCAACTGATTGGGCAAAGTTTGTATGGATTCCCTTCACAGTGGTCTTTGCTAAACAGTGATATGAAAGTCATTAAGTGTCCCATATATAACACATTTCTTAAAATTGTCTGGTGTTGATGCAGGCATGATACAAGTTTCCCTTTGTGAGGAGTCATAGACAAAGTTGATACTCCTGTTGCTCTTTCCTGGGTTTTCTTGAGGTTTGTGGGAACTCCTTCGTGAGCTTCCCTTTTGATGAATTGATATGCTTAGGCCATGACCTCTGTTAATTGGCCAGGAATGACCTTTGCCTTCCAATTTAACTTTGAATAGGCAGCATCTTAAAAGTGACCGGATTTTTTCTCTGCATTAGTATCATGGTTCAGTATGTCAGCAATACAACCCCACACGTCCACAGCTGCAACATAACTACCCCAGATACCCCTTTGTGAAGCAGTATTGGAATATGAACTCAGTGGCACACTCACAAACTAGAGGCTGAGAAGAATAAATCTGTGCCTGTGTTTCATTAATGTTTGCATGCTCTGATGATTATATCTGACATTGTTCTCTGATTTTTTGAAATTGTTGGGTGTGAGGGAGTTAATTTCTTGTGTGTTTTGTTTTAAATGATCTAGGTGTAAGCTTGGATTGAGCATTCAGCCATGTGTGGATTCAGCTTGTCTTGAAAGAAAAAGAAAAACATGAGAGAAAGAAGAAGAACAAAAAAGTGAAAGCATCAACATGAATAAAAGAACGGAACTGATGCAAAATATATATGTATACATAAATTGAAGGACCTCTCATGAAAAGACTTGCATAACACTGTTAATATTGCCTGATAAACTTATATACATTTTAATTATCACCTGACTTGTAATATTTGATGGTTATTAAGTAAGCAGCAGGTGCTTTTTCAGTTTGTTTTCCATTATGTGTCTAATATAGTTAGTCATACAGTGTTCCTCTTTGGCAGATTTAAACCTGCAGTGAATTGTAATATGCATTTGAATACAAAATGAACCTCTAGTCTGGCATGGGGATAAGTTGTCATGAACATTGTGTAATTCACATTTCAGTAATTGTTCATTTTATTTGACTCAGTCATCAGTCTAAATTGGACATTTATAATACACCAGTATAAGTGATTTTTTATGGTAGATTTTCTTTCCCATTTTTTTTTTCTGTATGTCTTTCAGGATGCTATAAATAGCGTGACTTTTACTTGATTTCTCTGCCAGCTTATAATGGGGTTGTTTATCGGAAGCTTCTTATATAAGTATGTAAATATGTATACATTTGTAAATACATATTTTTGTACAAATATATTGTTTTATATTATTTAACAGATTTGTTGTTTCATTCATGAGATCTTGCCCGCTTTCCATTTCAGTTTGGAGTGTGAATGTTAAGGTAATAATGTTTTCTACTGAGCATCTGTATGTTCCACACTAGTGCAGCCACATTACTCCATCACACATACAAGTGCCAAGAAAGTTTAGTATCAAATTACAGCCAAGGTCATCACATCATTTATGATTATATAATCTTACAGTTCAACATGTTTAGGGCTTAACTGGCTGTTTTCATGTGCAACCAATACTAATGAAAACTTTACATAATTGACATTAAATTTGTATTATGTAGTTTTCTTTAGTATTGTTTGTCCCTGAAGTGGCCAATTAAGGCTGAAACACATTAGGCTGTAAGATTATTTAATCATAAAAAAATTATGTGCACTTGGAGGCAGTTCTATTCTCATCTTAACCTAAATAATGTGTCTGCTATAATGACTTCTTTCAAACGAAGGAAGATAATTTTTCTGGAAGATGGTTCACTGTGCTTGTGAACCTGTCTTGCTGAGTATTTCAAGTCCTGGAAATTTATCATCATAGATGTTGGGGAGGTCTTTCAGATTACGTAGATTTAAGGAGCAGACTTTTTTAATGGCTCAGCTGTTGTAGTGCCAACGCCATTTATACATGGTATGCTTCAGTTTTTTGTGAGATTTATGACCAGGATGTGGTACAGCTGTTACACCTGCTGTGAGGAAAACAGTATCACCACATAGGTTGATTTTTTATGGGTGTGGTTATTTAGAAATGAACTTGTTTAATTCCTTGAGTCAAAAAACGCCACTGCCTCAAATTTCATTTTATTGACATACCACCTTTTAAATACTCAAAGGTTATGTACACTTCTGTATTAATGCCACCATGTTCTCTGGTGTTCACTGGAAGTGTAATTATAGGTTATGTCAAGTCACTGCAGGAATTCCATTACATGTATAGAGAATGCCACTAATTTTGGTTTGATGTGACAGGTAAGTGCAGGGAGAACAATTGAGTTACTTTAAACCAGTTATCCAAGCATCAGGTTTTGACAGTGTTGTAAGTCATAACATTAACCATCATACAAACATATATTTAAAAAAAAACATTTATTATTATCTGCCACATGTTTAGACTATAAATGGTCATCATCCAGTGAAATACACAGTGCAACGAAATATGTACAGACTCTATGTATAAAGATAAGGAGTAACTGTGTTTTACCCAACCCTGCTATCAACGCATTACCTATGGTAACGGCGGTGGGACAACTCAACGCAGGGTTGACTGACAAAGTGAATTAGTAGTTGTATTTAACCCACCCCCATCACCACAACATAATAATTGGGGACAGCGGTGAGATATCCAATCCACCTCTGTTGCAGAGGCGTAATATATGGCGGAAGCGGTGGTACAGCGGTAGAACACACGACTACCGCGCTACCGGCACTTAGTATTTTCATCAACCCCCTCTTAAGATGTAATATATGGTGGCAGCTGTATGCAACGAAGAAGGTCCAGAGCCAGGAGAATCCTAGTTTAGAGTAATTTAGTATTATTTTCATCAACCCCCCCTTACAGCATAATATGTGGTGGCAGCGGTGGGATACCTACACGCCCCCCTGTCACCACGGCGTAACATATACCATGGAAATTCAGACTGTCGGTGTAGTCAACAAGCTTACAGACAACATAACTTAGATAGATTTTGCTTGTGAGAGAAATTTTGTAATCATATGACTTTATTTTAGGATACTCAAAACATCCTAGAATGGAGCAAAATTAGTAAGCTCAAAAAATAATCCAATACAATGGAAGACAAAACAAGTGGGGTTTCTAAACAGATGGAGAACTTCATCAGTATAGTTGATGATAGCCTCACTTATGTTCTCAAGTCATTCTTATTGGATTTAATAGTGCAAACTTCTGAAATGAAAAGGATAGAATATTGAGTTGGCCAGTTTACAAGCTGGTTCTATGCCCTTCAACTGAAGAATCCCACTTGCACATTTAAATTTAAATCACTTTTGAAGATATGAAACTGTATAGTGTGGTAGCAGTTCATCAGGGTGTCACAGGTATGTCAGCAAACTTCTACTAGGCTGCATGGTATCACATCTCAGAAGACAGTAGTTTTCATAGTTACTGTCATCAAAGTTCCATATCACACATAAGTCACTTCTGCTTGACAAGCACAACTGCAGATACGACTTCCTCAGAGTTCCCCTTATACATGTCTCTCCTGCGAATGTTACTATCAGTCCATGAGAGAAACTGGTTGCCTTGACTGACTGGAACAGCAGAAACTCTGCCATTGTGATCCTGAATATAGTCTGTTATCTGAAATTTTTTGTCACCGCCTTCATCCACATAATGGCTGTTTCCCCTCGACAGGTCCGGTGCTGGAATCTCGTAAGCCCGTGCAGGTACAGCTCCTTCTGGAGCATGAATTGGCATCCAGCTAGAGGAAGATAAGGCAGAGAGCCTACCTTGGCTGAGGATATTTCCTGAAGAAAATAATGGTTTATATATTTTGTATATTTGTGTACATCATTATTTTCAAAATTTTTGGGCACCACTGAATGAAAGTGTAGAGTCCATGAAATGAGAGTGTGTAAATAAATAAGCTCCATTCCAATTATCAGCATTGGTTTCTACTGGATACGGTTTCTTTTATTTTAACCATTAACTACACAGCTGCACCTATAAACGTACTGAACATCCTTGTAAAAATAAGTTTGGAACAACTTCTGAAATGATTGAAGTATCTTGTTTTGCACAAGTAATATCCATAAGAGGTTTCAGTAAACCTGATACTATAAAGAAGGATAATACTATTTGTAGGTACGGGTATGAAGGTCCTATCTACTGATCTCTCACATTGAGCAGCTTTTGCAGTTATGTGTGTATTGTCTCTTCATGTTGCATGCAATTTATATTTCTTGAACTGACTGTAGTTCACATACCTGTTTCTGTGGCTTCATTTTGCAACTCCATTTGCTTGCCAGATAGCGGAATTATAGAAGACTGTGGTTTATGATACAGTCTCACAGGAGGTCTAACACCTTTATACAAGAGCATAGGACTTGACTCTTGCTCTGACCCCTCCTCCATGTTGTGCTCTTGATCATCATCAGTGTCCTGAGAAGTTATCTTGAGAGCTACATTCTCAGTGGTGTGCAGTACCTTTGTTTCATCACTACGTTGCTGTGGCCGCAACAATGATGTGTACGATATGAGTGGGACATAATATGGTTGTGGCAACACTGAAGCTGTCCCAAAGCTGTATGTAGCAGGAGGATTTGTGGCATAGGATGCACTTGTGTGGGAACTGCTCAGAGCTGCTGCTGCTGCTGCATAACTGTCGTGTGGTTGCGGATGGAAAATTGCTTGTGTTATGTCAGGATGACTCAGTGAATTTGATGCAGAACTCTGAGGTTTTCTTGCTGGTGGGTCATAAAGTGTAGCTGGTGGTGTTTTAGGTAGATGAGGATTGTGTGCTATGTATATTACAGGGTAAGGATGTGGTTTTGATTTTACGAGGACAGCTGATGGGGGCCCTGCATGGATGTGTTTTGATAAGACTGGGATAAGATTATGGTAATGACCAATTGGTGCTTTTGTCACAGTGAGATGGTGATGTGGTGGTCCCAATATATATGTTCCTTTGTGTTTTGTTTTGAAGTACGGGCGCAGCACCACAGGTTTAGGGGGTCCATATGTGGTGGCTTGCATTGGTGGTGGAGATGTTGGTACTGGTTGTGGCGCTGAAGGGGGAGCTGGTGTAGTGTATGCAGGAGGACTGTAAGGTACTCCACTCAGAGATGAAGATAATGAGAGTGAATCATATGTAAGATCCACATTTGTGTGTATAGGGGGTGGTGATACAGGTATCGGTGGTGGCAGAGGCGGCAGCGGCAGTGGCGGTGGTGGTGGCAGTGTTGCAGGTGGTTGCAGTGATGGAGTACTGGACACGAAGTAACCATAATATGGAATTCCCTGGTCACCACCAGCCACAGTCTGTATCCCCACCTGAATGCAAAATTAGGCACAGTTAATACAAATCAGATTGATAGTGATTATATCATACATTTTTCCCATATTTTGTTTGTTTAAAGGTACATTTAATCTGCAAAGTTCCAGTCATCTTTAGTGTGTCTGTGTGTATCAGTCAGATACTCTGTGAATACATTCTAACTGAATTTAACATTTGAGTTTCTTAATTCAATTTGAGCCCAAATTGGCTCTCTCATGTTCTTATCCATTATTACTCATATTATTATGCTGAAATGTCAGATGCATACATATTGTGTTTATAGATCATTTATTGTTACATTTATTTCCTGGGTCCAGAGACTTAACACACAAATTAGATCAGAAGTAATCTCAAATTGCTGATCACAGTGATGATAAATTAATGGAAACTGAGGTATGAATTACATTAAAAGCCACTCAGAATATGTGCAAGGTACTTACTTGTGTTGGTATAATAATGGGACCAGTTCCAAGAACTGATCCAGGATAAACCAGCAGTGGCTGCTGGAATCCTGGCAGTTGGTGGGTCCCAGATGTAGCAAAGTAACGCGATCCTTGTACTCCATTGTAACTTTCCTGATAAAAATGTCATTGTTTTATTATTTATTAACAACAGCTTTCTGATGGAAATTAATTGCATTCCATGACTAATTCAAAAGCTCATAGTCACTCAGCTAATCCAAAAATTCCATGATATTTATGGTATCTGAAGGTTTATTATCATATTTACCAGAACCTGAGCTAGGTGAATCCAGTTCACATTATCACACACTACTTCTTTAAGATAAATGTTAATATTATACTCCCATCTACACCTACAGCACACAATTAGTGTCTTAATGTTTCCAATATCATTGAATCATTCAGTGAATGAGGTTAGAACTTTCTAACAGACCCAACAGAGTAGGCGTCTCCAACCCCCTAACCTGAGGATGGAAACAGATTCAGTTTCCAAAATGTTGTGTTCTTTAGAATAGCAGACAATGAACAAAGTCCCAAACCCCAGTAATCATGAGTGTTATATACCACTGTCATAGCCTTTTAGAATCTGCTAGGCTCTTAATGTTTGTAACTAAAATTTTGTGTGCATTTCTTATTATGCCCATGTGCACTGCATACATCAAACGCCTAATAATTCTTGGTATGATCACCCTAATCATGTTTGGTGAAGAGTTGTAATTTTTCAACTCCTACTCTTCTACACTGGGGGGAGGGGTTGCCTTTATAGGGGTTAAAACGGCTGAGCCATGAAGCTGACCACTCACTTCCAACCAGTGTTGAGGTCAAAAAATTCTGGATCTATACATCCACTCCCCCATATGCCTTCATGGCATAGTGCTTAACTAGTTAAGCACAGGAACAACTTTACTTACTTTTTATTATTCTACAGCTTTGTATGACTTTTCCTATCTTAGATCTGAGTATTACTCTCAGCATTTTGTTCTTAAACACACTCAGTATTATACGTATTGCAACCGTTCATTTTGATTGGAGGACTGTTGTGCATTAATTAAATATGTATTAGGTTAAGATTACAAGGTTACAAACAAAGAGATCCGGCAGATAGCCAGCTCTTACACGCGGAAGGGACATAGTTCAAGTTTTGCTATGTGGACAGGAAGTAACATCTGGTAATTTCCTGGAATCCTGGCAGTTTCAGCAAAGTCGGAAAGGCTTTGAGAAAATGAGAGCTGACAGCTTGGGACAGCGATAACTTAGAAGTGGGACGGCTGGAGCCTCACACCCTGACCGTAATGCATCAAGGGGCTGTCGACCGTAGCGTCAGGTCAGCATCTGCCAGAATCACATAGCAGAGCAACATGATTGGGAATTCAAAATTTAGGGAACCTCCTAGTTTGAAAACTTAACCAATGGCAGAAGTGGAGGAGTGGATTTCTCTTGGAGTCTGGGGTTCGTGGACCTCAGAATTCAGAGAGGGTGCATTCCACCTCGAGGAGTCTTGACACAACTTTTGGCAAAGTCGGACACTAAATTTACAACTATGGCCTTTCCGTAAAGTAGTATAAGTAAAGTTCACATTAAGTGTATTAATAAATTCATTTGTATTTAGTATGCTGGAAGGGATTAAATGAACCATTAAGTGCAACGGTCTAAAGTGTGTGTGTGTGTGTGTGTGTGATTGAAGCAGAAAGGTTCTTCCTGCCCTGCCCGAGCCAGACCCGTATAAGACCCGGGATAGGAACTCAGCTCTACAGATTACTAAACAGAACCCAAAGAAGTGAGCGGTGAAAGAGTGGCGACCAACGTAAAGGGCCCAAGGAAGTGAGCGGTTACAGTATCCCCTAGGTTGAGAGACCAAGTTTCATTCCTATACAAAAGAAAACAGGTAGTTTTATTTATGATATATCTTAATGCCAACTTCATCTCCATGTAGTGCATCCCATTTTCATAGATAAGGGTCTGGGTTGTATAATCATGATATCTATAGCTAGGACAATGGTATTATCTGATTTCAGAAGATGAAGTCATACTGACTAGTGTAACCATTACATACAGTGTGGAGAAAGTGTCACTGCCATGTTTGGACTAGTTTAGTTTGAAGTTTAAGTATTTGAAGTATAAATTAGATCTAATTCTTTGTTGACAGAAAAAAGCAGAGTTGTCCCTGGGTTTAATTAATTAAGCCACACCATGAAGACATATGGCTCAACCATTTTCGACCTTGGCATTAGATGTAGGTGAGTGGTCAGCTTCACACCCTGGCCCAGGCCCATTAGAGAGGAGGCTGGGTGGGCCACAGAGCTCCTCTGGACTGCATCGAGTAGGCAAAAAAGCTCTGTCGAGAATTGAACCCCTGCTGTTCAGCCTGTAGCCCATCACTCTACCAACTTTGCTATCCCGACTCCTCATAAGATAGTACTATACTATCAGAACAGTCATATTGACTGTAAATCTGTCAAAAAAGCAGCTATTACTGACAGACATCAAGTTGAATCTTAACAGCCTGCAGTCATATCTAAAGAAAATTAAGTAATTTTAATATGCCTATTCATCACATTACCTTGGCATACTGAGTTGCAGCATCTTCTCCAAAATGTATCACAGCCCCTCTTGTGATCTGTCCAGGTGGCTCACCTCTGGCATCCCACACTGTTGTCAGTAGTAATATAAGCAGCACAGACTGCAACAACATAGCTGCATATCATCTTAAATATATTAGCCAACCATACAGCAAATAAATAGTCTTTCCCTCCTATGATACCTTCGAAGGATTAGTAATTTACTGAATTAGTTGTCAGCCATCCTACAACATAGATTCCATATTTATGCAGATTTACAGATGGAGAATGCCTATTGTCTGGATACAGATAGGATGAGTATATATCCAGTGTCAGAGGCTCATAAATTTTAATAAATTTTAACACTTATCAGTCCACCTGTTTTGGAGCTCCTTTCCCACATTTCATATCTTCAGTGATTATTTCTTTCAGTTTCATTTTAATTGTATTCTATCATCTTCTCCACAGCCATCCCTTGACGATATTCCATCACCAAAATTGCTCACATATTTATGCTTTCTCAAGGAGTAGCAACCAGATATACTGGATTAATTAGTGAATGCCTGGCAGGTCTCTCTGATAGTGAGGATGTCAGTGAAGCCTGGAGGGACCTCAGAGATGTTGTTATAAATGCTGCTGATGCAGTTTTAGGAAGAATGGAAAGGATAAAGTGTAAGAATTTGTTTGATGGAGAGTGTGAGCAAGTGACAAATCAAGAAAACCAGGCATATAAAAGAATACAGCAAAGGAACCATACTCGAGGGGCCGTGGAAGAATACCATGAAGCAAGAAGAAAAGAAAAAAGATTGCTTAAAAAGAAGAAAAGGGAATATGATAAACAAGAACTGATTGAACTGGAGCATTTAAGGAGTTCAAACGAAATTAGAGCATTTTGTGAAAAACTAAACAAGAGTCAAAAGGACTTTCAACCTAGAACAACCTTATGTAGAGATAAAGAAGGCACAGTATTGAGTAGCGATGAAGCAGTATTAGAAAGATGGGCGCAATATTTTGAGGAATTATTAAATGGTAACGCCTCCGTACAAGTGGAAGGTACGACCATAGACCGGAATCAAGGAAATTTTGAGGCTGAAGAGCCAACACCGACCATAAAAGAAGTAGAACAAGCTATCAAAAAATTGAAAAATAATAAAGCTCCAGGAATGGATCTCATCATGGCAGAATTAGTGAAATTTGCAGGCCCAGAATATGCCAAGCACTTACATCAGCTAATAGTTAAGATATGGATAACTGAAATAATCCCAGAGGAATGGAACTGTGGGAACATCCCACATTATCACGCATTTCTGCAACACTCGCTCTTCACATCACTTTTCACCATCACGCGCGCTAACCAATCAGATTGCCTCAAACGTTCGCATTTATACGGCGCCTCCTGCTAGCCAGCATCTACGTCATTACGCGTGCTAGCCAATCAATTCTTCCTCCTCAATTTCAAGTTTCGCTCCGCCCCACCGAGCAGTGTATAAAAAGGGGCAGCTCCAACGCCGAGTATTCGATTCGATTCATTCGATTCGGATGGATAAAGAGATCGGATTGATTGAGGGTTAGAGATCAAGGTGGATTCGAGATTGTCTGTTTGACAGGACAGGACAGGACTGATTCACGCTCAAGGAGTATAAGATTGATATGGTGTACTGTGCGGCTGGAAAGTTGCGATTGGATAGACAAGTGGGATTTAAATTCGGAGGTGTTCGGACAGTATAAAGGAGTTAATTGCTGGTAGCTCTGAAATTTTCAGTCCTTGTTTGTTTGTTTGTTTGTTTGTTGTAACAATTATCAGACTTTGCTTGAGGCCTGTGTCGTGTCGTGTCATGCCATGCCGTGCCAGACATGGCTATCATGCGTTCTGGGCGGAAAATNAGCCTCACTACAGGCAGAATATAAAGAAAACGTGAAGCTATATCCTGCAGCAGATGAACATTACAGGAGACTGTTCAGAATCATTTGTGAAATCGAGGATGTGGCCAGCTTCACACCAGCCACAATTGGAGAAAGTGTTGAGTGGGCGGCAATAATAAATGCCGCTGAAGAAAGCAGAGAGGGCTATTGCAAGGCTCTCAAGGGCAAGATCTTGTTCAGTGCTCTGTACGGAACCTACACAGTTACACTGAACGATCTGAAGTCCCTAGTGAAAGCAAAAACATCAGCTGCAACAAAAACTCAGACGAAGCCCTCCCAAGAGGAAGACTTCAAAGAGGTCCGAAGGCGGAAACGGCAGAGCACAACCGAGTCCGCCCCGATTTCAAAGAAGGCAGCGGCTGCCACAGGCAACAGCCAGACCAAAGAGGTGCCCACCCATAACTACTTTGCTCCTCTCAGGGCGACAACAATAGACACCGACACTGCTGATGACAGAGCCACTGCGCTGGAGGAGGGAGCCACTACTCTGGAGGTGGAATCATCAGGTAGAGCAGACAGGCCACCACCAATAATTATTACGATCACAGTGAACCTCATTAACTTACAAAAGCAACTTAAAAATGTTGTCAAAGGCGACTTTGAGTTCCGCAGTACCAGAAACGGGACCAGAGTCCTCACCAAGAACATGGCGGATTTCGAAGCCGTCAAGTCCCATCTATCTAACAACAGTCTTTCATATTTTACCTTCTTTCCCAAGTCCCTAAAACCCATAAAGGCCGTAATCCGTCACCTCCCTCACAATACCCCTGCGGAGGATATATCTGATGGACTGGTGACCCTGGGATTTGATGTGGTCAGCGTGAAGCAGATGACAACCACCCGCGGGTCGCCTTCAGACGAAAGGATAGCAAGAAACCTTCCGCTCTTCCTTATCACCCTACCCCGGACGGCAAAATTACAAGAAATTTTCCATCTTCAAAGCCTTTGCCACATTTCCATTCGGGTTGAGGCATATAGAGCACAGAGTGGCCTTACGCAGTGTCACAACTGCCAACAGTTTGGCCACGTCTGGGCCAATTGCAAACAACCTCCACGTTGCATGTGGTGCGGGGGTGGCCACCTGCACAAAGAATGTCCTGAGAAGCAGAACGCTGCCTCCACTCCAGCATGCTGCAATTGTGAATTGAAAGAAGGAGAGAAGCCACATCCCGCCAACTACCGGGGCTGCAGACACGCGAGGGAGGAACTGCAGAGGAGGAAATCGCAGAGAGCACCCAAAACTACGACGGGAAGGGTGTTCTCCTCGAATATCGTTAGCCCTGGAGTCTCCTTCGCGGCAGCGCTCCGTGGCAGCACATCGCAGGAGCAGCGACCTCAGACTCTCCAAGTTCCAGTGGCAGTCCCACCAAAAGCCACGAAACCGAGCATCCCGGTCTTTGTACAGGAACCAAAAACAGGTCAGTCAACTCAGGCTAGTCATGTAAACAGTCCATCTCTCGACAATATGTTGAGAGTAGTGACTGTAGTACAGCAGATTATGACAGAGGTCAGTGGTGCAGTGTCCGAAGAGGAAAAAATAATGGCCATTACCAAAATTGTTTTAAGCCTAATGAAACAAAATGGCCACTAGAGTACATAGGCCCCTCAAAGTCATAGCATTTAATGCGAATGGCATTGGGAGGCAGCGCTATGAGCTCAGTAAACAGCTGCAAGACCTACACGTAGATGTGGCCCTGTTTTCAGAGACACATCTGAAACCTCACGAGAGGTTCTTTATTCCAAATTACTACTTTTATAGAATCGACCGCCAGTCCGGGAGAAATGGCGGAACTGCCGTTGCAGTAAGAAAAGGCATTCCCCACAACCATGTAGACCTACCACCCCTTGTTTCAGTAGAAGCGACAGGGGTCTGCATACCAATTGGTAATAGCGAAGTGCTGCTTGCAGCTGTTTATAAATCTCCAGGCAAAGCCTGGAGTGATGCTGACATCACTGAGCTCTTAAGCTTCAGACGAAAGTCTATTTTGGCAGGTGATTTGAATGCTAAGAACCCATTTTGGAATAGTAGAGTTTCAAACCCCTCAGGTTTGAAACTTATGGATTTATTTGATATGGGCGATTTCGAAATCTCAGCTCCACAGTGCCCCACTCACTATTCCCCTGCGGGAAATGGTGACGTGCTAGACATTGTGGTTCACAAAAATATCAGAATGTCAGAGGTCGTCGTCTCTGATATTTTGGATTCAGATCACCTACCAATAGTATTTCACATACTGGATCACGTTAAAATTAGCAACCTTTCGGAACCCATTGAAAAATTTACAGATTGGGAGCGGTTTCAAAGCCTCGCTTCTGAACTAATATCACCTAAACTAGAAATAAATTCGGGGGTAGAAGCCGATAAAGCGGCACGCGACTTTGCAGCCTCTATTGCTTCGGCATATAGGCTGTCGACAAGTAAAGTTACACTTTCGGACATAAACAACGATCTTCCTGGTCTAGATCGTTTGATAAAATATAAACAGAGGCTACGAAAACTGTGGCAAGAAACCAGGGATCCAGCGTGTAAAACGGCAGTCAATTGGGTCACCAAATCAATCAGGCGAATGACCCGTAAAAAGGCACTTGAACGGTGGGAAACAAAAATAAGCAACGCTGAAGTCACACCTCAGTGTATATGGCCCATTGCGAAATCTCTCCTTAAGAGAGACGGACCAAGGGCACCAACTGCTATTCATGGTTCTTCTGGCCTAAAATTTCATCCTTCTGAAAAAGCCAATGAAATTGCCGACTGTTTGGAAATTCAATTCACGCCACATGACCTGTGCGACGAAAACCATGAAGAGCGGGTGGAGGCTAGAGTTCAAGCTCTGCTGGAAGCCGTGGATGAAAACCCCCCTCTAAGGATCAGACCATGTGACGTTCAGAAATTAATAAAATCCCTGAAATTAAAAAAGGCCTGTGGAATTGACGGCATCCCAAATGAATGCCTCAGGCACCTTCCAAGGAGACCATTGGTTCACCTAACTCACTTATTCAATCACTGTTTTCGGCTCTCTCACTTTCCAAATACTTGGAAGGAAGCAAAAATAATAACTTTACCTAAACCGGGTAAAGACCCGAAATTTCCTCAAAATTTACGTCCGATCAGCCTCCTGTCCACGACAGGAAAACTATTCGAAAAAGCAATTTTGAAATTCCTCCATAAACATATTGAAGAAAGAGACCTGCTCAACGC